TCAGAAGAAAGGAAATGTTCTACCTCGCACATTATTGTCCTTTGTATATAAAGGACAATAAATAAAGGTTATGTAAATAAGTACACAGCCAGAATTCTTTTAGGACACACACATAGAATGTAAGTTATTTGGCTTTTGAATACAACGATTACTTGCAAAAGTTTGTTGCAGTTAGAAATGCTTACTCGTATCTTTCCTTCTTATCATTACCTAGTTAAATAAACAAATGGCAAACATTTGTGTGAAGAGTCATATATTATGTGAAGTGCTAGATGGTGACATGTTAATAAAAGGACCTACCAGTAAAAAATGTAGTTTTTAAAATTGAAATGAGAAAACCTTTATTGGATTTTCTAGATCTGCCTATAGTAACATCCCCAGTTCCTCTGCTAACATCATCGTCATGTAGCAGGACGAGCCGCAGACAAAACCTCTCAGACACCGAGTTGTAGAAGGAAGGGCTTTATTCAGCTGGGAGCATCCGCAAGCTACTGCCTTAAAATCCGAGCTCCCCGAGTGCACAATTTCTGTCCCTTTTGAGGGCTCACAACACTAAAGATTTCACATGAAAACGTCGCGATTGATTTCAGCAAGCAGGGGGTACGTGACAGGGGCTGCATGCACCGGTAGTCAGAGAGAAACAGAACAGGGCAGGGAGTTTCACTATGTTCTTTTATACAATGCCTGGAATCTATGAATAATATTGGTTTCTAAGTTATGAGTTGATTTTTAACTACTGGGTTTAGGCCAGGCAGGCCCAGGCCTGGTTTTGGGCCTGGCACCCGGCTGCCTGTCTTTGGTTTTACTTTCTTGTTTTTTTCTTAAAACAGGTACTGAGTATAAAACAATATGAGAGGGTCTCTCTCTCCTCAATCATAGCAGTTACAATACACCTATCTCTTATTTTACCTTAGAGTGGTATTACCCAAAGTGTGTATCATGGATCAGTGGCAGTTCATGAACTATGTGTTACGAGTCAATAGTGAGGTACACACAGACTTTATTAGTCTGTTTTCATGCTGCTGATAAAGACATACCCAAGACTGGGCAATTTACAAATAAAGGGGTTTAATTGGACTTACAGTTCTATGTGGCTGGGGAAGCCTCACAATCATGGCAGAAGGCAAGGAGGAGCAAGTCACGTGTTACATGGATGGCAGCAAGCAGAGACAGCTTGTGCAGGAAAATTTCCCCTTATAGTAAACATCAAACCTCATGAGACTTACTATCACAAGAATAGCACAGGAAAGACCTGCCCCCAAGTCACGTCTTGCATGGATGGCAGCAAGCAGAGAGAGCTTGTGCAGGAAAGTTTCCCCTTATAGTAAACATCAAACCTCATGAGACTTACTAGCACAAGAATAGCACAGGAAAGACCTGCCCCCATGATGCAATTACCTCTCACTGGGTCCCTCCCAAGCATGTGAGAATTCAAGATGAGATGTGGGTGGGGATACAGCCAAACCATATCACAGACATTGAGAGTAAGCATTTAAACACTCATATAGCAACTTGACATTTCCTTAATAACCAAGTTGGGGAATCCATCTTGTTGGACAGGAAACAGACAAGTGTGGTACCATCAGACTCGGTGGTGGGTCACTTGTGACATGAGTGTGTATGAGTCATGAGAAATTGTACAGCATTTAAAAATTTGTTATCTTAATGTTATTTTGTCAACTACAGTCCAACTGTGCATAAACATCTGAAATTCCCATATTACCTGCTTGTAAAATAATAACGAATAATTATGAAATTTGCAGGATAACTTGTTGGAAATAGTTATTGATGATTTGTGAAAATAGAATTTGAAAACAAGGCATCATTTGCATTATTTTGGGTAAGATTTAGAAACAAATAACCTCAACTTGCAGGAATTATCTTAAAATTTCTTTCTCTGTTCTCTTGAATATAGATCTTTGAAATCAGTTCTAGTTTTAATGGTAAATAGAAATACCTGAGGTACTCTTTCTCTTCAGTGAATAGAATATTGTCATAAATGCAACCTCATAAGCTCATTTGTCACATTACAACTTTACATATTAATATAAATAAAATTCATTCACAGTGTGGGTGTAGGCATTTAATATAGGAAATCCAATTTCATACTTAAACTTGGGATTAGTTACAGTTTTATTTTTTCTTCTTTTTCCTTTTGTTTCTTAATTGATAAATAGTAACTACATATTCATAAAGTATGTAGTGATATTTTGATACATATGATGTACAATAATTCTATTAGGGTAATTAGCATATCTATCATCTCAAACATTTATCATTTCTTTATGTTGGAAACATTTAATATCCTCTTCCTAGCTTTTTGAAACTATATTACATATTATTTTTAACCGTAGTAATCATACAGTGGTATGGAATGCTAGGAGGTATTCCACCTATCTCCTGCACGATGGAGAAACAGAAAATGTCTTTTTGGTTTTTTTTTCCCCATCACATCATCAGGCTGAACATTTTCTAAACTTTATCCTCTGTTTCCCTTTCAAAACTGAATATTTTAACAGCACGCAAGTCACCTCTTGACTGCTTCAATGCTTAGAAGTTTCTTCTGCCAGACACCCTTAATCATCTCCCTCAAGTTCGAAGTTCCACAAATCTCTAGGCTGCAATAAGTCTACATGGTTTCCAGGGGGTGAAGCCTGAACCCAGCTGGCAGCACACAAAGCCTAGAATATCCTCTTTTCTGGTACCACCTCGTGCCACTGGACTCAGGGGGTGAGACGAGTGACTGCACAACCACATTCAACAGAGGAGGTACAACTGGGCAGAGACAACATCACAACCAGAGAAGCCTACACACTCATTCAAGAGGATGCTGAGATAAAGTACAGTTACCTACTCTCCATTATTCTTTGCTGAGAAAGGCGAGGGTATGACATCAGCAGAAAATTATGTTTATTCTTAAAAAAATCCCAATAGGATGGGGTTGATGGTCATTCAAGCAGTAGAATGAGATAAAAATCTGCATTAGTTAAAAATCTTTGTAAATAAGGAAAAGAACAGCAATGGCAAGGGAGAAAAGAGAGCATTCTTATTTAAACTGCATTATTTTCCTTGCTGTAGTGGCAGCAGACTCATTGGTTTTCATAAAACGTCATTTCCGCAGTGCAGTCTATTGACAAGGCTGCTCCATGATGGGAGGACAGACATGAGGCCAAGTGTTCATGACAGAACTAGGTCTTCTCTCAAAGCCTCTACTGTGGCTATTTCTCATGAGGAACCTGACACTGTATGACAATTCAGTTAAAGCTTCTGAAATATTGCAATGGCATAAATGACAGGTTTTTTGGTGTGATGACTTCTTGTACATGTAAACTCTTTGAGAAAAGTTGGAGATAAAAGGACAGCGGGGAGTTTGGTTTAGAGCCACAATGTTCCAGATGCCAGCCACGGATCCCTCTGCCCTGTGTCACTACATGTTCTTTTCTGATAAACACTCAATCGCTGAGTGTTACACACTGTGGTTTAAGGAAATGATCCACTCACCACCATCCAACCTCTCTCATCCTCTGTGTGAAGCTCCCAATAGCAGAGGCTGAAGATAGAAAGGCTATCTCTGTTTCCTTGCACCAGGTACATTACTTGGTTATCTGGTGAATGGTATGAGCAAGGTAGCCCACATTGCCAGAGATGACCCCTGCCACAGAGATGCGGCCGTCCTTTGTCATATAGATGGAGAACTCTTTGGTCAGCTGCTCCACCTGTTCAGGCTTTAGCCCTGTGAAACAAAACATGCCAATTTGGGCAGTGATGTGTGGCCAGTTGTGGGTGGAACTCTCCTTCTTGAGGTTGGAGACCAGGTGAGTCCGCATGCTAATGATGTAGTCGGCCATGCCTTTCACTTCTTGCAACCATTGTTTTCACAAATCAGGGGTGTTAAGAATGGTAGAAGCAATCTGGGCCCATTGTGGGGACGGTTGGAATACATGGGATGGATCAAGATCTTCAACTGTGACTCTACCCTTTTGGTTTCACCTCATCTTCACATACCACAGTGAAGGCTCCTACACACTCACCATATAAGCCCATGTTCTTGGCATATGATCAACAGAGACAAACATTAATGCCCTGTTTGATGAAGTGGCACACAGTCCAGGCATCCTTATCACCATCACCACTGGTAAAGCCTTGGTAGGCCATGTCAAAGAACGCAAAGAGATTCCTCTTCTTTACCAATGTTGGCATTTCCTTCCACTGTTCCGGATGTGGGTCCACTCCTGTGGAATTGTGGGTGCAGGCATGCAGAAGAAGAACAGTTTGCTCTGGTATTTTTGAGAGGTCCTTCACAGCACCTGTGAAGTCAAAACCGCAAGTCTTGGGGTCATAAAACTAATAACCTTGTAGCTGCATGCCAGTGTCCCTGAAGACGGGTGTGTGATTTCCCCAGCTTGGTTTGGGCAGAAAGACCTCTCAGATGACCTTAAAAAATCTTTGCAGAAAACTGGCTCCAACCCTTAAGGCTCCAGTTCCAGTGACAAACTGGCCACTTTTCAAGACTTCGCTGTTCTCACGAGGGCTAGTTCAGCAGATGCCTTGCAAAATTCAGCCAGGCCCCCAATGGGCAGGTATTCCCGGTCCAAACTTTTTGTGATAATCTGAATCTTTGCCTTGCGGACGCTAGGCAGCACATAAGGCTTTTCGTTATTATCCCGGTAGGCATCAACTCCCAGACTCATCTTTTTGCTATTGCTGTCCCTCTTAAAGGCTTCAATGACTCCCAGAGAGATATCTGGAGGTCCCATTTCTACATGGGTCCATCAGGAACGGTCTCTGGCTGAGGCCGCGGCAGCGAGGCCCAGGTGGAAGGTGGCGGGCGATCCTGGAGAGGACGCGGACAGAGTGCAGCAGGGCCATGGTGGACAGTAGGAGGGCAGTGGGCAGCTGCAGGACTGAGCAGAGGGTTCTCTGTAGAGTTTTAATTGTGAGAGATAATTTGTGAGGTTGATCTTAAGCTGTAGCCAATCTGGTCTGCTTTGCATGTCTTTCTGTATGGCCCATAGCAAATTTGCTGAGGACCTCCATCTTGTTTAACATCCTGGGGAGCAAGGCCTGTAACCACTTGGCAAGGTTTTTGTGTAGCCTCTGTGTAGCTTGGATTCAATCCTGGCTTAGGGAATGAGTCTTGTCTGGTTTCATATCTGCGTGACCTTTTGCCATCTGTTGATTCCATTTCTCTTCACGAACTGCCTTGGATTTTCCTTTCTCTGAGCATTTAGCAGAGTTTGAAAGTCAGAAATACTGCCACTTGGTGTGGCTAAATTCAGATAATAAGGGAGTTAAGAGGATTTTCTTAAGGAGTGCTCAGCTTAATTAAAAGTGGATATCCGAGTTAGGGTCATATTTAAAAGGCCTTTAGGTTTCCCTTTTCTTGGACATTTTTTTTTGCTGGAAAAAGGTTTTTCTTGCTCAACTGAATTATTTTTTCTGCATTTTGCTTTGCCACTTTTAATGTGTGCATGAGAGGGGCGAGACCTCTGTTTTTCTCATGGACCCCATAAATTAAAAACACCCAGAGGCCAATAAGCCAGTTAGGAGATTGGCAAATGAAAGATCTTATGGGGATTGGATTATCTTTTACCTGTCTGTGTAATTATATATGTGTTGTGTGTGTGATGTTCATACCAAAAAAAGAGCTCTAATTAATTTCGTCTAAAGGAAGACAAGCACTTGGATCAAATATTTTATAAAAGAGAAGATAAAAAGCTGTGGTACCTTTCAGTTCATGTAACTTTGATCTTGGAGAAATAAAAAAAGCCTTAACGATTATTGGTAAAAAGCAGATGTCATCAGAATGTAAATAGGTGGACCACATTATGCAGGTCAGATACTAGGTTGGCTAAATATTTTAAGGTCATAAACTGCTTTTTTGGTTTTTGAGAACTTTTCAATTTGCTGACTTCACAATTGGTAAGGCCTGGGGACATATGGAACTAAACATGCCCTTAATTATGCTCAAAGGAGTCAAACCTTGGCTGCACCTAGCACATAATCAAAACAACTTACCAGGTTTTACGTTAAAGTTAAAAATTGCTAAAAGTTACCATTATGGCATGCAATTGAGACTATTGGAAATAGATTTACATGCAAGGTGTGTAAGAACAGTGAAATGTGTTTTAATAAAAGTTTATAAGAAATCATAAAAATGTAAATTCCTGCCAAGGTTGAAGATTTGTTTTAAATCAGATAAGATAAAGCTAAAAGTTCAAACAACTGGTGGAAGGATTGTAAAAGTTAATCTTGCAAAAAATTATCTGTGCGAACATATTGAATAACTTCAAAAATTATTATATAATTTTTCTGTAAATTGAGCATTGAAATAAAAGCACAGCAAGGTATCCTTAAGGCACTAATCTGCTCTTCAGCAAAATTTGTATAAAAGGGTTATACAAGGTTTTTTCTTTTAAAAAAGTTCTTAGTCATTATTTCAGCAAAATAAATAGCTTATGGTAATCCGGAATTCTATTTCATAACAGCAAGTATTTTAAGCCTCTAATATATTTAACAGGCTTTCTAAAATCAAACTTCAGTTTCAAAATTGTCTTTCCTGATACCTGGCTTTTCAGATACTTCAGAGGGCCCCTGAAGTGCTCAGAAAAGAAAGGTAAACAGGATTATGTGACATGTTTAGGTACATGGGATTGCCAGAATGGTAGTCAATCTTCTTTAGGTCATATTTTGGTGAATAATACTAGTATACGTTCAAAAATTGTATGGAATTTTTAAAAGTCTAATGTCTAAAGTATATGCTATCAATCATAATTAAGGTTGTTATGTTAAGTTATTGTAAACCACAGAGATAACCAAACTTTGTCAACTGTGTTTCTAACTGTAACTACCCTGGACATATTGTTATTCACAGACAATTGTTGTCTTGTTTTAATCTTTTTCATAAGATGGTTTATAATAAGCTATAGAACTTTTACAAGTGCTCTCAGATACAGGTTTCTGATACCTTTGGGAATTGTGACATTGGAATAAAGGAAAAATATACAGAACTCATGAAGAGCTAAAATGTTCATGACTATCAAGCAAAATAAGAGTTAACTGAGTGAACTCAAAAAAATGAAGCAACCTTTTACACTTTTGCTTGGATATTTCTGATCCTTGTTTTGTTTTTTAGAGTCAAGAAAACATACTTTGAACTATTCATAGCCTTTAACAATTGAGTAGGGTATATGCCTGTGAGCAAAATTTGGACCATGTTTGCTTCTCTCTGCCTGCTTCCTGTAGAATCTGGAAACTATCTGTGAGTATTCTTAACTTATGGCAATATACTTGTTTGCATCAGTGAAATAAAAATCCATTTTCTTTTGCAACAGGATGCAATTGAAAAAACTGGCTGTCTTACCAAGGCTTTGATTGGATGGGTATGCTTCTCTTTAAGGAGTCAAGCTCAACTTGCAGAGCCAATAAAAGTCCATTGGGGAAGGCCAGATGCGATGGCTCACGCCTGTAATCCCAGCACTCTGGGAGGCCAAGGTAGGTAGATCACCTGAGGTCAGGAGTTCGAGACCAGCCTGACAAACATGGAGAAACCCCATCTCCACTAAAAATACAAAATTTGCCATTCATGGTGGTGCATGCCTGTAATCCCAGCTACTCAGGAGGCTGAGGCAGGAGAATCGCTTGAAGCCGGGAGGCAGCGGTTGCGGTGAACCAAGATTGCACCATTGCACTCCAGCCTGGGCAACAAGAGTAAGAGGGAAAAAAAAAAAAAAAGGCCCTTGGAGAAACTGATTTCATATAGCCTTGTCTATGCAGTTCCTGTACAAGGTTCATAATCTATGATCAGTAAAGAATGTCACTTTCTAACAGGCCCTGGAGCTCCAAGTTTATCTTGGAACCTTAAGGCAAGAGATTACCCAACTCACAGGTATTTGAAGATCCAAATCCATGTCTGGGTTTGGCTTTAAAATATTTTATTTGAGATTACTTGTGGAACAGCATTCCACCAAAGCCAATCTAAAAGGCCTATGTAGAAATGATTATTTTTGCTGCACTTCATGCAAATAATCAGGCCAAGTACAAGACTAAATTCTATTTTGCAAACAACTCAGTCCTATCGTGATTTGTGTTTTTAACAAAAACAAGGACTGGAGAGAGAGAAATTATGTTTCAAAATTTATCATAAATTTGTCTTAAAATTCTAAACTCATTAGTTGTTTTTCAGTTTTTGCCTACATTTTCAGACTAACCCTGCTTGTTCCTGTGAACTAACCAGTGATCTCTGTGTGCAGCTCAGAAAGAACAAACGGGATGCGTCATGTAGAAATCTGGATCAGTATTCTAGTTCTGAGCAATTATCCTGCAAATCCTGCCAGGTGATGGGAATAAATAGGTTGCCCATCAACCAGGGTTTTTTTTTTGTTGTCGTTATTTTTTGAGGGGGCAGTGGGGGAGTAAGACCAAGGGAGCTAATCAAAGCCAAGCACCATGCACCCAAATCTTAGGAAGCATAACTATAGCCACCAGTTTTCTAGGCATGTCACTAGACATCCCTTTCTCTCCCTTGTTGGAAGAAGACCCAATTCCACAGCTTCACCTTAGCATTTGGTTTATGATAAGGAACCCATGCAACCCACTCCAAGACACATTTTTGTACCAAACTCAATTCCAAGCTTTGAGTCAAAGCCCTAGGAAAGAAAACTGGGTCTGAGGGATCCAGAGACAGATGATAACGGAACTTAAAAGGCATAATGCAGGTGAGTGTGGCCGATTCCTGCTGATTAAGCCAAGCTTCCAGTTTCGTGGATAAAGGCTAGACTAGTATCCATGGCATAAATGAAGTCTAGGGAATTCAAAGGCTACTGACAGAAGGGGAGATAGAGCATACATGGGTAAGAATGGATACTCCCACCTCTTAGGCCCCCCTGTTAACATAGGTGAAAGTCACTTTAACACCCATGGCCACTGGTCATGGTCACCAAGTCTCAGGGATACAAGGATGGAGGAAAGAAAGAGGAACACCTCACTCTTCCTCCCTCATGTATCCTGTGTATTTGCTAGGAAGACAAAGGAATCAGAGGCACTGACTCCCTTCTTTCTAGATGAGTAGCCATTCATCTTCAGTCTGTATCCCTTTCAAATGCCTCTTCAATCCCTGGGACTCCTTTGAAAAAACACCTTCCTTTTTCCCTTTTTCCTCTTCTGTCCTCTCTTTAATGATAAGTAATTGTGTCTCCATACTATGGGACACTCCCCTCAGATGCATCCTCCAAACTGGGAAGAGTTAATTTCCCAAACCTTAGATTGGTTGGCTTAGGATTGGGCTCAGGGGAAGGGGGCCCAGGAGCATGACAGGCCCGCAAAAAAGTAAGTTTCCTTACCAGTTCGGCTTTTGTCCCCCACCCGCTCCGTCTCCCTGTGCAAACTGGTAAAAGGCCTCAGGATTTTTGAGCTGTCTTCACCCTTGTTTCATTTTGATACATGTTTTCTATTAACCTGGTTTGTCTCTTCTCTCCTTCAGGCAATCAAACTCCAGTCATGCAACTGGAGCCTCGGACAATGGCACCTTCTGCCAGGGACCCTTAGAGAGGCCTTTGAGGGAGATCTGACTGCCATTTCCCCCAAAACAGCGCCCCCGTCGGCAGGAGGCAGTTAAGATTGGTCTTCTCCTTTATCCTTATCCTTATTCTAAGGGCAGTTAGATGTACTTCAGAGTGGGAATGAGATAGCCACCTCAAAAGGGGTCTCCTGAGAACCTCTGTCCGTCCTGTGCACTGGGAGGATGGGGTGGAGCCCTGGGACGTTAGCACTGTTTACAAGGGGGAGGAGCCTAGCCTCTCCTGTTCCTGGGTGGTAACAAAGGAGTCAATCTGCAAAGCAGGAAACTTCGTAGCAGGACTGTCACTTTG